AGAGCTTTCGAGGAAGTGTTTCCGCCGATTGACGGCCGTGGTTGTTTCCGGCGACGCAACTGCCGCGTCTAGGTAAGTGTTGCCCTCTAAGTTTTGGTTTTTTTTTTTAATTTTGCAAAAAAACCACCACCGGCTAACCTTTAACCACCACAACGCAGCCTCTGCGCCGCTCCTCCGTCCCCTCGCCGTGACTGAAGCACCTACATTGATATTGGCTGAAAATTCAGTAAGTTGTCCTTTGCTTCCCCCCTTTTTTTTCAATTTAATTTTGTTTACTTATAAACCCTTACTTATTTTATTTATTTTTAATTTTTTGTAGGATTTGTACAATTTTGTTGGTTTAATTGTTAAAAAGAAGTTCAAATCTAAAGGTTAGTTACATTACAATGTGTTTTAGTTTAATTTTTTTAGAATTATGTTAATATAAAGTATCTTAATTTAGTTTAGTTTTTTTAGAATTATGTTAGTTTAATTTAATATATAAAACGGTAGTTTGGTTTGGTTTAGTTTAATATGATATATTAGTTTACTTTGGTTTGGTTTGATTTGGTTTATATTAATAGTATGGTGTTATGATATGTTTCTCTTGTTTAGTTTAATCTTGATATATTTGTTTAATATTATGTATGTTAGTTAAGTATATATTTTTTAAAATTAATATTATAATTAATTAATTGCTCCCTTGATCTTTAAAAAAAAACAATGTTAGTTTGGTTTAGTTTAGTTTAACATAATGTAGTTTAGTTAATACTATGTTAATATAATGTGTTTTAGTTTAATTTATTTTAATATAAAGTATCTTAATTTAGATTAGTTTTTTTAGAAATATGTTAGTTTAATTTAATATATAAAACGGTAGTTTGGTTTGGTTTAGTTTAATATGATATATTAGTTTACTTTGGTTTGGTTTGATTTGTTTTTCTTGTTTAGTTTAATCTTGATATATTTGTTTAATATTATGTATGTTAGTTAAGTATATATATCTTTAAAAAAATCATTTGCATAATCATATGCCTAGATACCCGTTCAAGGCATACACATTAGGAGTATGTCTTGAATAGTCCCCGGTTGGGACTGTCCTTGTACGTTTATTCTCACTTAGGTGGTGAATGTATTCCTTTGTTTTAATTCTAAGGAAGATCCTTGCTTGTCATTTCTCTACAATGTTCTCTAGGTACATATATAGGTGTTTCTAATCGCCTATATTGTGTACTCGGGGAACTGTAGGGAGATGCTGCCGGATTTTCCATAGAATTGAAATTCTGGCATACATTCACTAGTGAGATTGAACGTACAAGGATGGGTTAGGTTGGAGTGATAAGGACCCTTGGAAATCATTTCTCTTCTCATTTGCATTTCCATAACAGTTTGATCTATAATGAATATATATTGTGCTTTATGACTAATGTGATTAATGGCATATGTGTTAGTTGTGTAGAACTTGTAATCATGAAACGAAAAGAACGTAGCTGGATGTACGAAAGGAAGGTTGGGAATTCTATTAATCCTGAGTTCTTGAAGGGGGTAGATGAATTCCTTAAATATGTGGAAGATCATCCCGAGAGTAGAAACCCGAATGAAGTTAGGTGTCCATGTTTTAAATGAAAAAACAAACGTCTCTGGGATCCAGATACGGTCAAACTTCATTTGTATCGCAGCGGTTTTTTACCTAATTACTACGAGTGGATGTGTCATGGGGAAGGGTTTCCAGGAACTCGTAGAAGGGAGTCAAATGAATATCGTGAAATGGTTTTGGATGCCTTTGGTCAGTCTCAAGATCAAGGCCATTCCGAAGAGCCACCTGTTTCATTAGAGGAGGAGCCTAATGCACAAGCCAAGCCATTTTTTGATTTGTTAAGGGCTTCTGAACAACCGTTGTACGAAGGGAGTTCATTGTCTGTGTTAGAGATGGCTTCTAGAATCACTAGCCTAAAGTGTGAGTATAATTTTCCGCACAGATGTGTTGATGGATTTGCTTCTTTGGTTAATGAAGCGATTCCTAACAACAACCACATGGCCGAGACATTCTATGAGGTCAAGAAAATTGTTAAGGGGTTAGAGCTGCCCCATGAAAAGATTCATGCATGCCCGAAAGGATGTATGTTGTTTTGGAAAGATGATGCTCAATTATCTACATGTAGGGTGTGTGGCAGCGACCGATACAAGAAGACTTCTAAAGGTAGCTTAGTGCCTTTGAATGTTCTATTTTATTTCCCTATCACACCTAGGTTGCAAAGGCTTTTTGCAACTAAAAACATTTCTGAGGAAATGACATGGCATGCTAAAAATCCTCGATTTCAAGGCACAATGGCACACCCTAGCGATAGTGAAGCGTGGAAACACCTAGATAGTTGTTTTCCTGAGTTTTCCTCTGAACCTCGTAATGTTCGACTTGGCCTATGTACGGATGGATTTGCTCCACATGGTCAGTTTGGGGGACAATATTCATGTTGGCCTGTCATTTTGACCCTTTATAACTTGCCTCTGTCAATGTGTATGAAAAGACAGTTCATGTTTCTTTCGTTACTCGTTCCTGGTCCTAAAAACCCTAAGGGAAACTTGGATGTTTACATGCAGCCGCTCATACACGAGTTGAAACAGTTGTGGGAAGTTGGGGCAAATACTTACGATATTTCGAGAAAACAAAATTCAATCTTCGAGCAGCCATCCTATGGACCGTTAGTGACTTCCCGGCTTATGGTATGTTATCTGGTTGGACCACAGCCGGTAAGAAGGCTTGTCCATATTGCATGGAGAAAAGCAAAGCATTTTGGCTCGAAAATGGTGGTAAGGTTTCTTGGTTTGACTGCCATCGTCAATTCCTTCCGACAAATCATCCTTTTCGAAATAGTAAAAATGCATTTTGTAAAAACAAAGTCGAAAAAGGTTCACCACCTCACATCATGTCAGGAGAGGAACTTTGGGAATGTGTGAAAAACCTCCCGAAAGCAATAGATGGCCCCGAGGCACTGAAACGTCTCAAGAATGAAAAAAAGGGTGGTTCAAGCAAAGCACTCTATGGGACCTTCCATATTGGAAACATCTGCTTGTTCGTCACAACTTAGATGTCATGCACGTTGAAAAAAACTTTTTTGATCAGTTGATTCACACCATAATGGACGTGAAAAAGCAATCTTGTGACACCCCATCAGCTCGGAATGACATTGCTAAATACTGTAAACGGCCCCAGCTACATCTTCAAGAGGATGATAGAGAAAAAGAATTCATGCCAAAGGCTCCATTTGCTCTTATCAAGGCTCAGAGAAAGGTTTTGTGTGAGTGGGTCAAACAGCTGCGGTTTCCTGATGGTTACGCTTCCAATTTGAGCCGATGCGTTGATTTGCAATCAGGTAAGTTACATGGAATGAAAAGTCATGATTGTCACGTGTTCATGGAGAGGTTGTTGCCCACTACTTTGAGAGAATTGCTCCCTACCCATATATGGAATGCAATTACAGAGATAAGCCAATTCTTTCACGATTTATGATGCTACACAATTACAATTAGCGACATGGAGCGATTGGAAAAAAAACATAGCTGAGATCCTGTGCAAGCTTGAGAAGGTTTTCCCCCCATCTTTCTTCAACTCCATGGAGCATTTACCAATTCATTTGCCATATGAGGGAAAGTTATGTGGACTTGTTCAATATCGGTGGATGTATCCTTTCGAAAGGTAAATCAAAGGTCCTTTCTCAACTCTTACTTTCATCTCTTTCATTGATTTCCGTTACTTATACTTCTACGGCTACATAAACATAATTACAGGTTCCTCAATCACCTGAAACGAAAAATTGGTAATAAGGCTGGTGTTGAAGGTTCCATATGCAACGCTTATCTCACTGAAGAGATATCAAACTTCTGCTCCAATTACTTTCAGCCCTCAGTTGACACAAAAACACGAGATCTAGGTCGAAATGTGAATGCTGATGTGGAATCCCCGGCTGACAACGATGAAATCCCAGAGCTGTTCACGGTGGATAAGGGTCGTGTGTCAAATTTGGGTAAAACTCGGTATTTAGATGACAAGGAACTCGAACGTGATCATTTGTTCGTTTTAAGAAATACCGGCATTCTTGGTGAATACGAAAGGTATATATGTTTACGATAAACTTTTGAAAATCCCTTTAATTTAATATAATTGCTGCAATGATTAACCATGTGTCATTAATCTATTAGGCAGCTTGAGGACTACATTCTTAGTACTCGAACTTATTTGCGTCGAGAAGATGTCATGGAGAAATGCGAAAGTGAATTCCCTGATTGGTTTCATCACAAGGTGATAATAATTTTTGAACATTGCATCTCGATTAATTTGTGATAATATAATATAATATATTTCATTTCAATTAGTGTGACGCTTGTATTCGTAACGGTTATAGGTGAGAGAACAAAAACCAAGTTCCGATGTGTTGCGAGCATTGTCTATGAGGCCTTTCAAGCGTGTTCGAACTTGGAACCAGATATTTGTCGGTGGCTTTAATTTCCACACACAATCCTATGGCAAACACAAATCTACGATGAATTACGGGGTGTGTGTCTCAAGTGAGGACGGTGGAGAGTACTTTGGCATTTTAAACGACATATTTGAACTTGTCTACACCGGTCCCGTAAAAGAGTACAAGACTATTTTGTTTAGTTGTAGTTGGATGGATTGTGGTAAAGGAATGAACATTCATGAACAATACAAGCTTGTCGAAGTAAATCATACTAAGAAGTATCCCAAGTATGATCCATTTGTCTTATCTTACCAAGTGTCTCAAGTGTATTATGCATCTTACCCTAGCCTTAAACGTGATCGGGTTCAATGGTGGGCTGTATTTAGAACTCAAGCAAGGTCGGTGATTGATGCTCCGGTGGATTTAGAGTTTTTGCAGGGTCCTTCACCACAAGTACATGCAACGCTTTGTCCACCAAATGACATTCCAGACTATGAACTTGATAGCGATGATGATGATGACAATGGCTTTATTATCTCAAGCGATGAAGAAGAATAAGAAAGCATTGGCTCCAGTGACAGTGACGAAGAAGAGGACATCGATGTATTTTTAGATGACACTAGTGATAGTAATAATGATAGTGATAATGATAGTGGTAGTAGTGATAAGAGTAATGAAGAGGAGAATATGTAGTTACTCCTTTTACTATTGTCTTCGAATGTTTAGTTTTTAATGACTACTCGGACTTGTAATATTGCATTACATTTTTGGTCTCATTTTATTATTTTAATGTCTTAGGATCTAATTTATGAATTTACAATGTGCGATTATGGTACTAACAACTTTTTCAGGTGGTCATCATGGGAGGAGGAAATAAAGGAGAAACGTCCAAGAGGAGAAAGTCTAAGGGGAAATCTCCAGTTGTACGTGTTGACGAGGATGAGTCAATGGAGGAAGAGGATGCACATGATTTGGGGGCCTCTCATGAAATCGTCAGAAATGTACAAGGGTAACAGGAGCAACAACAGCATCAGGAACAGGAGCTACAGGACCCGCATCCTAATGACTTGCTAGAGTTGGACCCTTCCACACTTTGGTGCGTATGTATTTGTATAATGAAATATCCTTAAATACGTATTTACTTTGATAAAGTGAATTTGTATTACTTTAACCATGTTTTGTTCACTTTTTGTTGATTATCTACTTACATGAATGTATATCCTTTATTATAGGTTTGATGATAGGCCGGTGAAGAATGTGCTCTCCGACTCGCTAACCGGCTACTATGTTCAGCCTTGGAGGAATTATGGAGAGGTTGATGAAGATTCGAGAGAGCACTTTTGGAACTTGTTCAACGTATGATAACTTTAACCTAACATAATACATGTTTTATAAATTATATTGATGGAGTTGAATTTTGTAATAAAGACATTTTCTTGATTTGCAGAAAAAATTCAAGTGGGCACCTGAGTTAAACAACCAAGTGAAGGACACTTTCGAAGAAAAGTTTGCAAATCGCCTACGTGACACGTTCTACAACATCACACACAGGCTGAATGGTCACAAACCAAGATGGCTTAATAAGGATGTCCACGAAGGCATGATGAAAATTGTTGCCACCGATCCAAAATATCAGAAGCGATCAGAACAAAACAAGAAGAACCGAAGAGGCGGATCCATAGAAAATGTCGTTGAACCGACCCACTTTCAAGGTTCAATGTCATCTGTACAACATGCTAAAAAGATGGTAAGGTTCCTACAATATGTCCAGTAACAATTATGTCATTTGTCTATTAATGAATTTTGGTGGGCTAACATGTTTTCATTGATTTTCTGCATGTACATATAAAGGCTGCAAAAAACCAAGGCCAATTACCAAATGCCCATGATCTTTTCTTGAAGACACACTTCAAGGAAGTGCCTGGTAAAGGCCAAGTGGATGCCAACAACAAAGCAAAAAGGATTGCGGTAAACACTTATTATATGAGTTGATATATGGCAAATTAGCAAAGTAGAACTCAATATATGCTTATTTTGGATGAATTTGGATGAGTTAGGGTCGAACATTGACATATGTGCTTATTTCTATTAATTTCTATCCTTAGGAACTTAAAATTATGTGATATTGGAATGTTATAAGAAAGAACGAGTCCATTTGCTTGAAAACTTAGAAAATAGGCATGGTTTTAGCCATATAGGCCAAATTTGGATGATTTTGGATGAGTTAGGGTCGATATTTGACATATGTGCTTATTTCTCTTAATTTCTATCCTTAGGCACCTAAAAGAAATTAATATTGGAATGTTAGAAGAAAGAAACCTTACATTTGCTTGAAAACCTAGAAAATAGGCATGGTTTTAGCCATATAGGCCAAATTTGGATGATTTTCGATGAGTTAGGGTTGAAAATTGACTTATGTGCTTATTTCTCTTAATTTCTATCCTTAGGCACTTAAAAGCAATTGATATTGGAAAGTTAGAAGAAAGAAACCTTACATTTGCTTGAAAACATAGAAAATAGGCATGGTTTTAGCCATATAGGCCAAATTTGGATGATTTTGGATGAGTTAGGGTCGATATTTGACATATGTGCTTATTTCTCTTAATTTCTATCCTTAGGCACTTAAAAGCGATTGATATTGGAATGTTAGAAGAAAGAAACCTTACATTTTCTTGAAAACATAGAAAATAGGCATGGTTTTAGTGATATAGCCCAAATTTGGATGATTTTGGATGAGTGAGGGTTGAAAATTGACTTATGTGCTTAATTTTCTTAATTTCTATCCTTAGGCACCTAAAAGTATGCGATATAACTCCATATTGTTGGTTGTTTTTTTAACAATATTTTTTTTATCTTCAATATTTTGTAGGACACCTACCAGAAGAAGCTCGAAGAAACAAGGAGTCAGGGGATTCAGAAGAGTCCCAATGAGTTGTACTGGGAGTCGGTGGGTGGGCGCAATAAGAAGGGGCGTGTGAAGGGACTTGGCCAAAGTGTAGAGCTGTACCATGGAAAACAGGGTCGAGGTTCCCGTTCTTCACAGCAATACACGTCATCTGTCATTTCTCAAATGCAAGACCAGATGGAACACAGGGTGCAAACTCTCCAAACTCAAATGGAAGCCCGAATGGCTGAAATGGAGAGGAGATACAAGGAGAGTTTCGATGAGATGATGAGTCGTCTCACCAACAACGACTCATGTTCCACCATTCATCCTCAGCATCGAGACCCTAGAAACGACCCGGGTGGTGGTAGAGCAGGCCAGGGTTTCCAGGCGATTGCGTAGCTTAGCTTTAGTCTAGCATAGAATCACTCTAACCTAGCTTTTGTTTGGTATAGATACCAAAATGTGGACTATCTTTTGTACTAGGACATAATTATTATATATATATATGTACATAACCCTAATTTCGTAGGTCGGTAATTAATTTTTTTAAAACAACAATTTTAGGACTCAATATTTAGTTTTTTTTTTTCGATTTATCTTTAAAAAAAATTCAGGTTTGAAAATGCAGAAAATTAAAAAAAATTGTTTTGGGCTGGAAATACAATTTGCGACAGAAAAATTCGTCGTAATGTACATATTTGCGACGGAAAATTCCCTCGCAAAATATTATTTGCGACGGAAAATTCCCTCGCAAAATATTATTTGCGACGGAATTTTCCGTCGTAAAATATAATTTACGACTGAATTTTCCGTCGCAAATATATACATTGCGACGGACTTTTCCGTCGTAAATAATATTTTGCGAGGGAATTTTCCGTCGCAAATAATATTTTGCGAGGGAAAATTCCGTCGTAAAATATAATTTACGACGGAAAATTCCGTCGTAATCTAAGATTTGCGACGAAACTTTTTCCGTCGGAAGTTTGCGACGGATGTTCAACAAAGGCCAATTCCAAGTCCGACGATATTATTTCCGTCGTAAATTCCGTCGTAAAGATGGTTTACGACGGAAATTCCGTCGTAAAATGGCCATTTTCCTACAAAGGGTTTTCCGACAACCATTTACGACGGAATTCCGTCGTAAACCAACTTTACGACGGAATTTACATAGTTTACGACGAATTTTTCCGTCGCAATTCTGTTGTTTTCTTGTAGTGCAATTAGGTACTCAATTGTTAAAATTTTCACCTTTTAGGTACTCAATTATTTTTACTTTGCTTTTGGGTACTGAGTTAAGAATTCAGGCCAAAAAATTAAATCAGCCAAAGAATTCAGTACCTTGGGTTAAAGAATTTAGTACCCTTGGTTAAGTATGTGGGCCCCACCCGATTAAATAATTAATATTTATATAAAAAAAATTGTATTAAATTTGACTAAGAAACTAGCCGTTGGTTTATCTATTTAAAGAGGCATGAACCTGGAAGAAATTTCATCAAAAACAGCAAGAAAATTCATCAAAATTCATCAATAATAATTCATCAAAATTCATTCATCAAAAACAACAAGAAAATTCATCAAAATTCATCAAAAACAGCAGCTTAACCAGCAACAAAACAGGTTCATTAAGCATGTTATTTAGGCATAAATTCTGCAAGGTTTTGCCAGATTTTATAGAAAAAAAATAAAAATAAAAAAACCAGAAACAGAAGGGCTGCTGCTTCCCCCTGCTGCTGGTAGTTCAACTCTGCCACAAAATCAGCCATTGTTGCTTCTTTTGTCCAGCCACAAAATCAACCGTTGTTGCTTAATAAATTCATCCAAAACCATTTGTCAAAAAAAAAAAAAACAAAATTCGAAAACCCAAATTTAACACAAAAACCACAACCAATCGACATCATTAATTTGTTCAAAAAAACCCCAAAATTCGAAAACCCTAGGTCACAACAAACATCAACAAATGGGCAAAAAATCCAAAATTTATATCAAATTAACAACATAAACGATGAGAAATTGAGCTTACCTCAAAGAAATGGCGGCTTTTGATGTCGTTTTCCCCAGATTCGAGCACAAAGGTTGCTCGTTGTTCTTCGACGTTCGCAACAAAGTTTCCAGAAATGGGAAAGAATAAAGGAGCAAAAAGGGGAATAAAGAAAAAGAAAGGGAAAAAAAATGGGTTGACCCGCGAATTTTTTAATCGGGTGGGGCCCACATACTTAACCAAGGGTACTAAATTCTTTAACCCAAGGTACTGAATTCTTTGGCTGATTTAATTTTTTTGGCCTAATTTCTTAACTCAGTACCCAAAAGCAAAGTAAAAATAATTGAGTATCTAAAAGGTGAAATTTTTAACAATTGAGTACCTAATTGTGTGCTTAACTCTTAAAATGAACAAATATGTACATTAGTACTTGATGTTTCACTTTTATTAATTTTATATAATTATTATTTAACATGCTCAAATAACACCAACAAATAATTATAGAAAGTACTAAGATATGAACAAATAATAACTATTGCATTGAAACACCAACAAATAATAGAAAGTAAAAGATATGAACAAATAATAAACTTGTCAAAAATATTCATTGCTTTTCTTCAAAAAAAAATATACTTGTCAAAAAAAAAATTATTTTTGCAAAGTTAATTAAGGATAGAATTAGTAAAAAAAAATACCATGATTTAAGGAAATAATTGGTTGTTTTTTTATTATTATTTTTTTTTGGGCACGTTTCAAATCTTTCAATTTTTTTTGTTTTATTTTTAGTTTTTTTTGGGGGGTAAATAACAGCATTTTGATTATCTTTTTTTGGCCAATTGATTTTTTTCTAACTTGAGATGATTTTTGACAAGTATATTGAGATAATTTTTTTTTTTGACACCTCGTACTATTTGAGATAATTAAGGATATATTTTAAAAAAAGATGATTAAGGATAAATATTGTTTAAAATATCACCATGATTTAAGGAAATTTCTAGAATAAACATAAAAACATCATATGTTTTAATGTAATTAAGATATTTTTTAACACAATTATAATTCTTTTTTTTTTTAAAGCAAATCAATTTTTTTTTTTTTACTTGAGATATTTAGAGCTCGTCAATTAAAAACTAATTTGATTGTAATGACTTTAAATGCATGCATGTGTAATTGTTAAATAATCTCTTAAAATTTTAAATGTAGCTAGAAAAAATAATATCAAAACGTATATAGAATTCCAAATTAATTATAAAATTAATACTTATTATTACTTTTATATGTTTGTAAAAATTGAGGGATCGATGTAAGTTCATGTTCATTTCAAGTAAAGTTGATAAAAAAAAATATTAAGTTAATATATATTTTTGTCATATATTTCTTCCCCAAATAATGATCTCTATATCAAACAAAAAGGAAAAATACATAATAATGAAATATGAGGGATTATTTTTATTCAAAAGCAAGAAAAAAAAAAGAAAATAAAAGATGAGGGAATATTTAATATTTTCTTTCAATATTAAAAAACACCAAGTCAGCCTATATACAAGCTATGAGAATTTCATAAGGAGTAACAATATGCATACAATAAGGAAACAAATTATTATGATTTGCCTACAAGGCATACACAATAAAATCTATACAAAAAAATTTATCATGTAAGTCTTTAAATTTTTATTTATTTATTTATTATTATTTTTTCAACATAAACTAACTCCCAAGTTCATCAATGGTATTGTAGCTTCAACATTCAATAATGGTGTATTACTCAAA